TACCCACCAAGAAGCACATGGAGAGCAGGAATTCAAAGATAATAGGCCTGGAAGGTAATGAAGGGACTAAAGGATTTTTTTTAAAGCTGAAGATGGTAATATCCAGCTATAGAATTAAGGGTGAGCACCCGAGTTAGCAAGGCTGATAGAGCACTATCTTAAGCACCAGTCAACCAATGTGGCAGGAAAAAAAAAACAAAAAACCCCAATTCCTTATTTAGCAAAATTATCTTAAGGACTGATACTGGTAGTTAGTCAATTTAATAATTTTTTAGGGTTATCTTCTTACATATCTTGACAAGCATAAAATGACTATTTGCTAAAAAAAAAAAAAAGCTACATTGTATTTGGAGAACTTTTTAAAATGTGTTTTTGATTTTTTTAGAGAGAGAGAGAGAGACATCAGTGTGAGAGAGAAACATTGATCCGTTACCTTCCTTTCGGTGCACGGGATGACGCTCAACCAACTGAGCCACACTTGCCAGGGCTTATTTGGAGAACTTTTTATCAAAAGTAATGTTGCCAGCCCTAGCTGGTTTGGCTCAGTAGATAGAGCGTCAGCCTGCGGACTGAAGGGTCCCCGGTTCAATTCCGGTCAAGGACACATGCCCGGGTTGCCAGATCGATCCCCGGTGGGGGGTGTGCAGGAGGCAGCTGATCAATGATTCTCATCGCTGATGTTTCTATCTTTCCCTCTCTGAAATCAATAAAAATATATATTTTTTAAAAAGTAATGTTGCCAAAGGAAATCTGAAGAATTGCTACTGTTTTCATCACTTGTTTACAGTATGTTATTCTAGTAAGAGTTTGAGATTTTCTTGGACCAACAATTATATATATACTTTGATGGGGAAAAGGGTTATAGGACCAAGTCTTCTCATATTTGTAAATTAATAATCTTTTGTTGAACTTGTTTTGACTATTTATATTTAGAATTGGCCACTTTATGGAAAACTTTTTTGTAATAGTGCAGTGGAATAACTGAATTAATATTTTACTTAATTTATATTGATCTGTCAATGACAAATAAAAATTTTTGATTATTTATTGTGTTTTAATTTACCAGAATAAAAACTGTAAGAATTAAAAGAAAGTTTAAATAGAGTCAACAGAAGAAAACAATTAACATTTAATTATAGTTGAAAGAAGAAACACTTCATTATTACGGGTATGCAATCATTTCTCATTCTAAGAATAATTTGTCCCAGTCTTTCTACAATACAGTCTCAATTGAAATGCCATTAACTTCAGTTGTGTGATAATTTGACCATTCATTCACCCATTTTCTACTTTCCTTTGGTGATGCTGTTCAAAGATTACTTTTTCCACCCCAGGTTAGCTCTCCTTTTGTACCTGCCCCTTCGATAACTGGGATTTTACAGGACACTGCCGGACAATCTCAGGCTTTGCTCTCCCTATGTGCTTAATTTTTAGGAGGTCAACAAGTTTCTTGAATCAATGGTTAATGAACTCAGTCTAATAAAAATAAGGGCCCAGGAGATTAAAATCACCAAATCGTCCCCCTGAACAGACATGTATCTTTTAATGTGTGTGGGCAGTTTTAAATATTGGACTGCCAAACAAACATTTCATAACGGGCTCCATAGGCAAACCATGAAATCGGTGAAAATAGGAATTCCCTTCCGCTGAACCACGAAAACCCGTGGAGTGCAGGAAGGACTTGAACACCTTACACTCACGGGAACGAGACTGGAGGCGGGTCCCCCGGGCTCACCCCGTTATACATCGCCAAGCGCAGAGAGTGACTCTCTTCATCGCCAGCGCATGGCCCCGACCCCTGCACAGTGACTGCTGACATTAAACATCGCTGAGTTCATGTTTCGGGGGTCTCAACGCCCGGTGACCACTTCTGAAAGCAGGTGTTCCCCCCCCCGCCCCCCACCGCCCGGAGGGCAGGCCGGAACCTGGCCCGAGTACTGAAAACTACCATTCGGTCAGGAAGCGAACTAAGTTAGTCAGGGGGCCCGAAAAGTGCGACAGGTAACGTCCAGTCACACGCCGACACCCAACCAATAAGCTCAGCGTCTCCCCTTGGCAGCAGCGGCGCTGGGATCCACCGCGCCCCTCAACTCGTGACCTCCGGGTAGGTCCGCCCTCCCCGCCGAACTACAGCCCCCGGCATGCACCGCGGCATCCGCCCTTC